CTTGAAAAAATAAAGCATGATGTTATGAAAAAAAGAGAAGTTCAAGAAAACAAAAAAAAAATGAAAAAAAAATTAGTGAACTTCAAAAGAAAAGAAAAAAAATTGTTCAATGTTCTAGTTGGAGGTTGATCAAAAGCAAAATAATTTTGAGCTTCATTGAAAAATTCAAGTTTGGAAAATAAAGTTTGTTTATTCACTCTACTTCTTCATTATTATATCTTATGAGTGAAATTGTAAGAGTTGGGATTATTTATTATGATTGGAGTATATTTGGTTGATGTTAGAGTTGGTTATATAGGAGATGTATGATCATTATTTATTTTGATCATGGGTTTTATTAGGATATGGCTCCTTTAAGCATAGCTTTTCTCTCACTTATTCCCAAATTTATCCTACCCTTTACCCTAGCCTTACATTACAAGTTTTAAAGACCTTCCAACCTTTGTGCATAGAATTGTATGAATGTGAAAGTGTTGTTTATCAATGCAAGTTATGATTTGGCATATTTCGAGTCGACTAGTAGGTTGAGCGTTCATTGTTTAATACACACGAGAGTGTGAGTTGGGAGGGCATTGTTCACATAAAGGGGTTGGATGGAGAGCGATCGAGTACATCATTTACTTGCCACAAAAATGAGAGTTGAGTGCGTGAGCACTAGTCCTGAATTCTATATGCTCTTGTGGTTTGCTCTATTTGACAATTGTTAGGGAGATTAGTAATTGGAGTGGATTTGATTGGTTGACTTTGAAGCATGTTTATTTGATTTACCCTGGATCGTTTGTGCTTGATATTTTTACTTTTGGGGTGAAGCATATTTATTGATTCATTGATGAGATCTTTGCTTAGGGACAAGCAAAGGTTTGACTTGGGGCAGTTTGATGTGTCTATTTTATTAGTATTTTACCCCCGTCCCTTGGTCATAATTAGTAGTGTTTTTGGCTCTTTAGAGCCACTTTTATTACTAATTGGTGTTTTCTAGTGTTTTCGTAGATTTGGTTGACTTTTGCAGGGATTTATGCTTTTGGAGTATTTTCCCGAGATATTTTGGAGCAATCACGAACATTGGAGAAGCACGACCAGATTTTATAGCCCAGGGCCGGTTAGAGGCATAGAACCGGTGATTAAGGGCTCGGTATAAGTGATATCGGGGCATTTGGACCAAGTATTCAAGACCAGAAGAGGAAATCCAGATTGGCCCGAAGTATTGGAGCCCAATCGTAGTCCGAATAGTGGCCCAAGTAAGCCACCCGGCCAAAGAGGCTGGCGCCCGGAGGGGCGCCCGGCCGGGCGGGAGAAGCTAAGGTTGGCGCCCGGTGACGCGCCCGGTCGGGCGCAAGATTAGTATTAGGGACAAAAAGGCGCGCCCGATCAGGCGGTGCCTCGCACGATCGGGCGCGTGTATTTCTTAGGAGACGATTAGCGTCGTTTTAATTTGTTTTAGTTTAGGATTTTGTACGGAGTATAAATATTCCTGCGTAATACGATTTTAGCTCTCTCTCTTCTTCTTTTTATTCTTTCTTTACTCTCCTAGTTGTTCTCTTAGATTTCTTTCTCCTAAACCTTTGTTCTTAATCTACTCTTAATTCCAGATTTATTTTGGTAACGATTTCTCTTCTCTTAATCTTAGTTGTTTATTTTATTCCTTTCATCATGACTTATTTTATTGCTTTGATTAGTTTAGTCTTTAATATGTGTAAGGGAAAAATTCATGGGAATAATCCCACCTTTGGGTCATTCGTTTTTAATAATCCCACCTTTGAGTTATTTTTTAATAATCCGACCTTTACCCCCCATTCTTTTTTATTGGTCCCATTTTACCTGAAACCGGTTGAGGAGGTAATTTTTTTTTTATTAATAAAAATAAAAAAAGAAAAAAGAAAAAGAATTAAAAGTCCCCAAAAAATATCAGACTCCTTAATCCCCTCCTCTTCGATTCATTTTTGGCTGCTCTAATTCATTCATCATCATTCAATCATCATCGACCATCATCTTCACCATTCATCACCTTCAATCAGCTACATCATCAACAAGCATCAGCAAAATCTCTGCCTTTGGATTAATTAAAGGAATCGTGGCCGTCCAATTTCATTAATTTGTACAATTTCTCACGCGAAAATGGAGCAGATGCTCATACCATTCGAAGCTACCACTTTGAACTTCTTGTCTCAAAGTTGAAAACATTGAACAAATAGGAGTGTCCGCTTCGATATAGCTGAGCGCCTGCTCAAGAGTCCTTGATTCTTTGGGTGAATTGGGGCATGGGCGTAATTTCCAATTGCGAGGCTGTTTGTGTGCCAAAATGGTGGTGCTTAACTGCGGTTTTGCTGCTGTGAATGGGTGGAGAAATGGGAGGTGATGAGGGTGCGATTGGTGGTGGTGTGGTGCTTCAGGGTGACGAGCAGGTGCAGCACTGGCGAGTTGCTGGGCTGCTGTTGTTGATTCGAGTTTGGGCGGTGAGTGATGGTGGAGGTTGAGGGTAAGTTAGGGTGGTGCGTGAGTGAAGAGGGGGCTGGTTGGTGGCTGGGTTGGCTCCCTGCCTCCATGGTGGCTGGCTGATTTTTGTTTTATTTTTTTTTTGTTATTTTTTTTTGGTTTTTTTTTGTTTTATTTTTATTTTTATTTTTGGCCAATCACAGGTCGCCACGTGTCATGCAACCTTTTATAACAGGTTACATGACCGGTTGGGACCAATAAAAAAGAATGGGGGGTAAAGGTCGGATTATTAAAAAATAACTCAAAGATGGGATTATTAAAAACGAATGACCCAAAGGTGGGATTATTCCCATGAATTTTTCCTATGTGTGAGTAGTTTTATTTCTAGGGTTGATGGGGATCCATAAATAATATGAAGGGGTAATTTATTGTTGTTAGTTATCAATGCTAGATTAATTTCCTATTGATTGATTTAATGCTCTGTGACTAGATTAGGCCTATCTTTTATGCATGAGTTTGACAACATTGATTCGAGATTCGAGAGTTGATGTTTAGGTCTAGTTTTAATAGGCAGATTAATTTATAAATGGTTAAGTCGAGATTCGAGAGATAAGATTTAATGTCGGTAGATTAATTCTGTGATTGTAATACGTAGCGAAAGCCCTATACAATCTGGTTAATTGATGCATTGATGATTGACTATTATTGATTATTGGTATTGCATGATAATATCTTATTGAATTATTTTAACGTTTTACAATTGCGGCTTGTAAAAGTATAGCAATATTAAATTGATGAATCAAGCAGATGTTAATTTGATATTAAAGGCTATTTTCAATAAGAACTTAGATCTAGTAAATTGCGAGAGCCTGTTAGATCTATGTTGATTAATAAATTGCGAAAGCCTGTTAATCATGTTATTTATGCAATTTCAATGATTGATTACTATGTTTTACCCTGGAGTATTATTTATTGGTGAACCTATGCCCTAAATCCTTTCATATATTGTTTTCTCTCTAATCTCAATCTTAGTAGTTTAGTTTCTTATTCGAATATAAATATTGGTTACTTAGATAATTTAGATTATAATAATTAATTAGGAGTGAAAAGACTTGTTTCCCTATGGAGATCGACCCTACTTCCCTATCTACTTTAGTTAGAGGACTTGGGAATTATTTTTGATTAGGGGATACGACTTTACCCTGTCAATCACCGCACCACAGGCTGTCGCCTGGCGACAGAGGCTTGTGCGGTGACAACGTCGTGTTTTATTCTTCTTGAAACTCCGATTTTTTTTATCATATCCCGGCTGATTTTTTATTATAAATAGCGTCCTTAAACCTCCGTTTTTAATTACCAACTCTCATCCAGAAATCTTGATACTTTCTCTCTCTCTCTCTCTCTTATTCTAAACCAACCTTTTTTACAAACACAAAATTCCGCGTTCATAAGATTTAGATACACCTAGCCCAATTCGAAGTTGTCTTCGCCTTAGACGTGAAAGGTTTGGTATTTCTGAGTGTTTGGTCCCAAATCTAGTCTAAACTTTCTTAATCTTTATTTAATTTAATTGTTTGTTTTATTGTTTCCCTTGAAGTTATTAACGTGTGTATTTTGTTATTAGAAAGAGATACGAGACATCCAAGTAAGTTTTTTAATCGTTTTCATTGTTATTATGATAAAGAAATCATGTTAGGATGTTTTGATTGATTCCTAGTATTATGTCAGGATGTTTTTCCCTAGTATCATATTTAGAGTGATTTGCTTATATCAATTATGATTTCTGTGATGCTTCCTACTTTCTTTCCTAATAGCATGTTAGTATCATGTTAGGGCTAAAGCTTTGTTTTTTAATATTTAGTGACATGGTAGAGTTTGTTATTAATCTTGTTAGTTTCATGCCTAAGATCTTGCTATTATTATGCTTTAGCGTTGATATGATTATTTTAATTATGATTATGATTATGATGATGATTATTATTTTTATTATTATTATGTTGCTTTATATTTATTTTTATTGCTTGATCACGCCTTTTATGAATGTTTAAAGGGAATTTGTACTTGTAATCACGCTTAATAAGATAATTAATAATCTTGTTTAGGGTTAATTTGATTATAATTCAAGTGATCGCCAATAATAGTTTTGTATGTGCATTAATAATCAACCAACATAGATTAAACGGGTTTAGGGTAAACCTATTGATTGCAAGTTAGTCAGAAAGCGCACATGAATACGAGCAGAATAAAGTAGAGGCCTATTATTAAGACAGGTTCAATCTCTTTTAGGTTGGATTTGTACCTTCATCCCCAAACTTCCGGTTATGGTTCGCACTAGGCGAAAATAGCATTTGGCCACCGGTTCAAGGCATTTGGGGGGTGGCAATAGTCAGATGCAAAGCCACCGGTTAACTGGTGGAAAAAACCCATTCTCGCTTTTTTTAAATGGGTTTTTGGCACCGGTTCCTATTCAAAACCGGTGCCAATAATGGCCAAAAAAAATTTTTTTTTTTTTTTTTTGCATTTTTTTCGATTAAATTGATATATAAACACTAACATATATATAAACTTACATATTTTCATTAAAAAAGGTTGTAATATTACAATTTTGGTCCAAAAAAAAAAATTACAAGTCACTGTTAAATACAGGTCACACCAAATCACCAATGTAACACCTGGCGAGGCAGCAACTGCAGCAGCGAGCCTAAGCGAGGCAGCAGCAGCCTTGCTTATAGATAACATCTTCCGACAGCCACCTGCATCAACAAACAAAGATAAGAGATCTCGAAGTGTGTATTAATCAAAGACAACAAGCAGAGCAATACTACCTTAAATTCAACCATATATACATGCAGTGAGGAAGACCGAGAAGAAAAGCCTTGGCAAAATACATTTTCAGGCTCTTTATAATCAAGAGGGGCAAAGTCCACCTCATAGTCTGTCTCGATTATACTGATTGCATGAGAGGGCTTTGTTTCAATAATGTCAACGTAATACTTCTTGTTGTTATATGCCACCATGATGCTGTCTCTAGAGGTCAAGCATGAATAATTTCTCAAAGTAGTCTCCAAACTGCACAAGGAGATAAGTGCAACACATGTACCAGACAATATATATTACTAAAAAAAATGTACCCATGTAACCAAGGCGAAGAACACACATCCTACTCAAAGGTGAAGCTTCAAACCAGTATCAGTGCATGATTTCATAAACTACAAAAGGGGGGGGGGAAAGCAAATGACCTATATATTTGTGCCCTTTTCAGAATGCAACTTGTTCATACTCAAGCTAGTCTTTTCCAATCGTTATTCAGATTCTTCGAATATGAATAGATACGATGAAGTAACATTGGCAAATAATCATTCAATTACAAACAGACATTCATACCTCGCAAACAGAAAGAAAACTTTGGAACCTTTACACCAAGACTTTAAAGAACACAAACAAGAAAACTTTGGAAACTTTACATCAGCTTAAAAGAACAAATTCAAGAAAACTTTGGAACCTTTACATCAAGACTTACAAGAACACAATCAAGAATTTTGGAACCTTGACATCGACATATAAGAACACAATCAAGATGGATCCCAGCAGATCGGTTTCATTTACAAAAGCACACTCAAGATAGATCCCACCAGCTCAGTTTAATATATAAGAACACACTCAAGATAGATCCTACTTGCTCGGTTTCATCAGCTTATTATACTCTAATGATTAGAACATATACTAATAAATTTGCCAGTATTTAATACCAATAAATCTCAGAGAAATGGAACAGTTCTACTAATTGAAGCACATACCAATTCAGCGATCTTCATAGTCTCAACAGCAAAATCAAGAAACAATGACTGTGTAATGCCATCAAGGTAGTGGGGGTTGCAAAGGGCTGTCTAGTCGTTTTTGCAGCTATTCAAACTTTAAGTTCTGCCAAGTAATTTCAATTTCATTAATTAGCATCATCTTAGAACCTTTTACTAGCAAATCTTAGAACCATTTCATCAACAAAACCAAACAAAAATCACTCAAAAATCGCAGAAAAATTCAAAAAAAAAAATCAAAATCACCAAAAATTGTGCTAAAGATGCCTTGATCTAATTGTAAAATAACAAGAGCATACAATTCTATTGTTTATCTCTTTTATAAGAGCTATTTATTCAAGCATGTGATCACAATCTGTAGACATAGTAGCTTTATTACTTTATTACTAAAAAAATGAGGAAACATTGACATAGTAGCTCACAAAGAAAATGCATGATCTTGAAAATAAATTGGTTGAAAGTTTTCAATCTAAGGTGCAAATGTCATAATCTATGGGCAGGATAATAACCCTAAAGTTATTAGGAATATACATGGTTACACCTAAAACTATCAAGTTTTTCAAGGTCCAACCTCCCTTTACTTTTTCCTTGTTACTTTGAGCCGGCCCTATTTAGTGTAACTTGGTAAGTCTTGCACATACAAAACCACAAATGCAACTTCAATCCAACACCAAGTAAGCATATAGATTAATAAGAGTAATATAAAACCATAGCTTTCAAATAACAATATTAGCAAGGTAATTCATCTTGTAAGTGATATTATCTATCTGCTACATATTTGTTCTATAGTTCAGCAATTGGAACTATCATTTCTCCTGGACATGGGAATCTCACATTAAGTACTCTTTCTTGTCTATCACATAACAACTATGGAAATACTATCAGACCAAAATTCACATAACATCACAAATTAAGGATTGAAGTCAACTGTAATCATATTTTTTACACAATCAGACCAAAATTCAATCAAACAAAAATTAATCCATAGGTCTAAGCACCCACCAAAATCCAGCAGAAACCAAGCAAAATTTCCCACAATTCTGGGTTAAAATTGATTCAAGCTCAATAATCAATACATCATATCAAACAAGTAACAAATCTATCAGCTAAATGGCAAAAAAAAAAAAAAAATATCAGAAAAAAACAACCAAAAATAGCTTGTAATAGTGTTAATTTCAGCTCAGAATAAAATCAGTGTAATTCGTAGTAAAAGGATTTTACAGTGCAGATGATTCCTTCGTCTTCTGCTTCTTCGCATCTCTGTCCAACACAGCGTTTTCTCTTCGTATTCAATTTCGCTGAGAAAATTTCACAAATTCAATCAAAATCACCATTAATTGCAGAAAAAATTAGGTCAGATTAAGCTATTACATAAATGGAGGAGAGAGAAACTATGAGGAAAAGCGTTCGGCGCCGGATTCTTCAATGATTTCGAGGCGTTTGATAGGGAGTTTGTCGAGAGAGATTCCCTTGTTGCCTCCGTCCGCCATTGTTGAGATTTCGCCTGTGTTTTATGGTTTTAGGGGAAATTTTCGATTTTGCAACTGAGCCCTAACTACGGCAAGAGAGATAACGAGAGAGAAGAAGATGAGAGATAGATGGCGGCGGCGATGATGGTTGTTGAGAATGAGAGAGAAGTGGTGAGGGGAGATCGCAGGAGAGAGAAGAGAGGGGGAGAGCAAGAGAGAGAAGGGAGAGGAGGGGAGAGAGGAGAGTTTTAGGGCTAGGGTTTATGAAGGGGCGGTTTTTTTTTTTAAAAAAAACAAAGCCACCGGTTTTGAACCGGTGGCATTAATATTTTCCCCACCGGTTCGGTTTGAACCGGTGGCAATACCCCTCCCTCATAATCCCGCCTATTTTTCTCCATTTTTTTCCCACCGGTTTTTAAAAACCGGTGACCATTGCTCGGTGCCAATTTCTATTTTTCTACTAGTGTTCCAGACCTATTGGATTTAACGATCTCATGGATTGTTAAGGGGTGTAACCTTCACCCTGTGAACGGTTTACAAGTTCCTAAAACTTGTTGGCGACTCTTTTTCTCTAGCTTCTTTCCATTTGGACGCCACCATGCTTAAGTGTATGATCACAATGGGGTTCAAGTTTGGGGTAATGCTTGAAATATTCCCTACACATGGTGACTATGAAGCCACCCATCCGACTATGAACAAATACCTTCATGTGGTCAAAGCTGAGGCTAGGACACTTAAAGAATTCCATTTGAGTCAAGTGCCCAAGTTTGAAAACAATCAAGCAGATGCACTGTCAAAATTGGCATCCTCCGCCTCATGTGATACACCTTGGTCAATCTTCTGAGAAGTAATGGAAAACAAATTATTAATGTCCTGACAGCAATCCATAGCCCAATCTTGTTTGCTAAATGGGGCATGGACATCTTGGGACCGTATACGCCTACTCTAGGCGGAAAACGGTACATTCTAGTGGCTGTTGATTATTTCACCAAGTGGGTTGATGCAGAGGCGGTAAAAAATATCAAGGCTAAGGATGTCATCTCTTTCATTTGGAAGAACATCATCACCCGGTTTGGGGTACCTATGTCCATGGTTTTGACAATGGCCCTCAGTTGGAAACAACACAACTCAAGACTTGGTTGGGAGATAAGGGGATCTCACATTGTTTTGCATTAGTAGGTTGACCCCTAGCAAACGACCAAGTTAAAGCCTTCAACAAACTTATCTGAAACGTCATTAAAAAAATAGAAAGAGCCGCTGGTTTATGGGCTAAAGAATTTATTCATGTCTTATGGGCCATCCGGACAATTGAAAAAAGGGCAACCGATGAAACCCTATTTCTCATGGTTTACGGTGTTGAACCCGTCTTGCCCATCGAGCATTATGAGCCGACTCTTCAAGTCATGTTATACGATGAAGAGGAAAATAGGGAGCCCATGCGGCTAGCTTCGGACTCACTCTCGAATCGCATGGGAAATGCCGCCTGCGTCATGAGATCCCGTCTGAGAATGACCCGTTCCTACAACAAAAGAGTGCAAAAATGGCCCCTGAAAAGGGTGACATTGTGTTACGGAAAATTGAGGCAACCAAAAGGGCCAATGAGCATGGAAAGTTAACCCCTAATTGGGAAGGTCCCTACCGAGTTTATGAAGAAGTAAGGAACAACACCAACCGCCTAGAAACCCAGATGGTAGGCGGCTGCCCAGAACTTGGAATGTAGACAATCTTAAAAAGTACTACTTCTAAGAGCTGTAAATTTTTGTAAATAAAAAGCCTATCAAGGAAAAGCTTCTTTTTGTTTTCAATACTGTTATTTATTGCCTTACGTACATGTGTAATATGCCTAAAGCACCGACTGTGTAAAACAAAGACGACCAATTAGACATGCTAATTCTAAACTAAGTTAAAAACTTAGTAGCTAAACAAATGTCTAAGAGACGTGAGGCCAATGGCCGGATGATAATTTATTTTATAAATTTGCTTGCTCTAACATGAGTAAGGCGTACGGCCGAATTTTCGCAGAGAGCATCTCTTATCCGGGTGACACAATGCTCTACAAATGCATACAGACAACAAAGATTGAACGACCTAATTGGTCAACTCATAGCCGTCTGACCTGGGTAATCTAAAGGAAGACTAAGTCTATGGGAACCGGATGTTTGAAGATATCAGCTGGTGACCAACCGAAGTTCTGACTTCGGTTATCTCTCAAAATTGGACGTCCTCTTAATGGGGCAAATGGACATAGAGTATAATTGAATTGCAAGTACCAAGGCGGTACAAACCCGACTGATCCACTTGTTGAACAACTGTGTGCTTGATTGACTTAGGAACATCTTTAAAGTATCAAAAGTTTCCAAATCAATCAATTAAGTTTTGAAACCATTCAAGAGCCATCCAGGGGAATGTACAACCTTTTTCCGCATGCTTTTAATAAGATAGGAAAATTCACATATATATGCAAAAACTGAAAAATACAAAAAAATTAAATCAAATCAAAACCGACTCAGTTGGTACTTTCATATATAAAACCCGACCATAGTAGCTGGGAGGAAATGTTGACTAGATAACCATCCGGGTAAAAGCAAAAACAATTATTATTGATTCATTACATTCTAATACTCGGCACACAGGCCGGAAATGCAGACGGCTTAAAGCCGTATAGAAGACAACAAGCTTAAACTTGCGGTACAGTCAGGTCCCTCTCTCTTGTATGCTAAGGCGACGGTAGAGTAGAGTTCACTTGAGCTTCTTCTGGTTCTTGCTCTTTCTCTCCTCCGCTCGCAGCTTGAACTGACCCTTCATCTACCTCCTTATTGGCCCAGGCGTCGAATGACCCAAGATACGACTTGCCCTCGTCCTTGTCATTGATAACTTCATTAGCATACTGATAAGCTAAGGCCCAAATACCATACTCCTTCCCCGGGTGTAAGGCCTCCTAGGCAATCTTCATACGATCTGTGCAATCAGACTTGTTCTCTTCAACGATCCGCTCTTGCTTGGCCTCCAGCATTACCTTGAAGTTCGCCCGGGCCATTTCATTCTTCAGGAGGTTGACGTCTGCCCGGAGATCAATGTTCTCCTTGTCAACTCCCTCAAGAGTTTTGAGGTTTGCTTGGGCATTTTTTAGCGTAGCCTCAAAGTCAAAAGCCTTCTTCTTGGCGGTCTCCAGTTCAGCCGTCAAGCGCCTGATGTTTTTCGCCCGAGTCAGTTCAAATGCTTTAGTCTCAAGTTCATTTACTATAGTTTGGTATTAAGCAACGTCTGCAGAGTCTCGCATATCTTTATTAGCTTGTTTTACCTTGTTCTGTTTGCATGTGGGACCATGGCCTCTTCAACCCATCAACCCTCAACATATCCTATGGAAACAAACGAAGTGTTAGGGGCTTAAGCAGTAAAATACTTAACAAAATTTGTTGGAAAAGTCATACCTCAGACAGGAGGGCCATGATTTGTTCAAGGTTAAACGTCTCTATGCCAGGGATGTCATCCTTCTCCTTCTTGGGGATAGCCCGAAGCATAAACTTAGTGTATTGCTGCACATCCGGCCATGGGGGTAATTCGCATCGTAACCAAGATTGGGTGAGTAAGGTGTGTAGGCGGCACCTATCAGCAGACGGTGAAGGAATTATGTCTTCGATAAGTGCAAGTACTAGATATATCAAGGATCACTATTATGAAGATAATAAGTTTGTTCTTTTCGGTCGTCATTATCTATTGTTAGATTATGATAAATGATCTTTGGACTAGTCAATTAGTAAGTCTAGTAGAATGGATCCATGAGGTCACCAAACAAGAGTATTGGGTTAAATAAATTAGAGGCCCATTATTGGGCCTCATTAGGATATGACATACTGTAGGGAATATTTCAAGCATTACCCCAAACTTGAACCCCACTGTGATCATACACTAAAGTACGGTGGCGTCCAAAGGGAAAGAAGCTAGAGCAAAAGAGTCGCCAACAAGTTTTAGGAACTTGTAAACTGTTCACGAGGTGAAGGTTACACCCCTTAACGATCCAGGAGATCATTAACTCCAATAGGTTTGGAACCATAACTAGTAGTTCGGGGATGAAGGTACAAATCCAACCTAAAAGAGATTGAACCTGCCCTAATAATAGGCCTCTACTTTATTCTGATTGTATTCATGTGCGCTTTCGAACTAACATGCAATCAATAGGTTTACCCTAAACCTGTTTATCTATGTTGGTTGGATATTAATGCACAAACAAATCTATTATTGGCGATCACTTGAATTATAATCAAATTAACCCTAAACAAGATTATTAATTAACTTATTAAGCGTGATTACAAGTACAAATTCCCTTTAAACATGCACAAAAGGCGTGATCAAGCAATAACAATAAATATCAAGCAACATAATAACAATAATCATAATAATAATAATAACAATCATAATCATGTTAAAGCATAATATTAATAGCAAGAAACTAGGCATGATACTAACAAGATTAATAACAAACCCTAGCATGTCACTAATCAATAAAGATCAAATATATAGCTCTAACATGATACTAACATGCTATTAGGAAAGAAAATAGGAAGCATCATAACAATCATACTTGATTTAAGGAACTTATTCTTTACCCTAAACATGATACTAGGAAGATCAAAACGCCCTAACATGACACTAGGAATCATAATAACAACCTAGAAATGATTTCTAAGAACCATAAAATCAATAAATCAATTTAAGCACTTACTTGGGTGCCTCGTATCTCTTTCTAATAACAAAATACACACATTATTAACTTCAAGGAAAATAAAAAATCAAAACAATTAAATTAAATAATAATTGAAAGAGAGATTTGGGACCAAACCCTAAGAAATTAAAACCTTTCACGTCTAGGGCGAAGGCAACTTCGAAATTGGCTAGGTGTTTCTAGATATTGTGAATGCGGAATTTTGTTTGAGAGAAGCTAGTTTAGAAAAGAGATAGAGAGAGTATTAAGAATTTCTTGATGAGAGTTGGTGAAAGGGAATAAGAATTGGTGAGAATTGATGATGGAAATCGGAGGTTTTAGGAGGCTATTTATAGAGAAAATCAGCCGGATGGATAAAAAAACGAATCAGAGTTTCGAAAAGAATAAAACAGATTAGCGCCAGACGCTGGACACTAGCGCCAAGCGCTAAGGCTAGCGCCGGACGATAAGCATTAGCGGCAGGCGCTAATCCTCTCGTTAGGCGCTAGAAACTAATTTCACACGTTTTCTTATTTTTGATAAATTTTAGTCGTACAGAAGGGCAAAATCGTATTTTCCTTAAAAACACTTCTTTTATTCTGATTAAAACTCCAAAAGGTCAATCAAAGTCAATT